AATGTGGGCGGAATCACATTGTTATTGGAAATCCTCTGGCCTGGCATCGATCCTTGATGTTTGTCCTCCGACGGTGATGATCCTACTGCATCAATCCGGCCCGATCTCTTCCTCCCAGCGGGCCAATACGACCCCCCCCCCGTGACATGTCGAGGATTCCTCAACGCACGCTTGACCCTGCTCTGCACAATCCTTTTAACGATGTATCTTATACCGTTATGGGCCTATGCAGATGTTGCAAAAATACTTGGAATAAGCTCTACATATCAGAAGGCTATTTTTCAAGAGGACGGATTCAACGGAGACCATCAACAGATTATATCTCCTCAATAGAAGTTAATAATGACACCATAGAAAATGGAAAACCTCCACAATTATACGTCTTTTGACCATTGTCTCCCTTTGTCAATGCACCGTTCATGGGTGTGAGCAGGTCTCACTTATACCTTCGACTTTTGCTTCAATGTAGAGGCCAAACGTGTAATAATCACACGACAGTAATAGCGAAATTCAGTAGTATGCAAGCAGAGCTCTGTTTGCAAGTCAAAAATGAAGATTTTCAAAGGCACATGATGAAAATTACTATGCTGGAATTGCTATTGAGGTGCCAGAAAGAAACGCTTTATTTCACTCAAGATACTCGAACCCACGTTCAATACAGCAAAAGGTGCCCTCACAAAGGGTCGTGCGTTGGACTTAAGTGCGCAGGTATTGCAGCAGACTCATTTGTAGAGGAGCTTGGCATCGCAATAACTTCACAGGAATAACCTACTGGATGGAGGATGGATGGATCAGGATGCCTCTTATACCGAATTTACCATGTACCTACCAATGAATGCGTCTAAGAAGTTTTCATAATGCCCTTCGTGGTATGAGAGCATCAAATTCAAAGTGGAATATACTGGAAAAGGTCAGAATGGCAAAACCTACACAGGGAAATCAAACCTTATACAAACCGGCTACTTGGCAGAAAGAGAATAGAAGTAACCTCATTTCTCTTACTCACCAGTGTTTATTCAATACAAGCAGTTCATAGCAAATAATAAAACAACTGCGTATCTGGATGACGGCAAAGCGTTCAGTTACGCTTGCACCTCAATCCCTACAACCTCAAATTCTTCAATAAACTTCTGTAGCATAAAAGACACGTGTAAATGCAATCCAGCAGAGGACTCAGTTTCATGCTATTGCATACACAATACTATATCTCAAACGCGAAGACTGTCACACACTTTACCTTTACCGCTTTCAAATGGAATAGT